AATCAAATATTTGATTTTGAAAGTATATCTACATATTTTGATAAAAATCCCCAAATAAACAAATATAATTTTTTCATAAGTGCAAATGACCTTAAAACTGTCAATACAAAACATCTATATATGAGAGAATTAAATCAAGGAAGATGCTGGAATTGTCTAAAAAATTTTACTCATGAATGTTGTGCAGCATGTAAAAAAATCAATTGTAATTGTATATTTATATGTGGATATACGTATTCAACACAAAAAAACAAGTATGGTAAATGTACACAGTTTGCAAAATGTAAATATTTCACTAATGATCAGAACAAAATAGTTCACGATTGTAAGGGAAAGATTCATGAGGATGAAAATATTTTTTTGTATATAGATGAACAACAAACATGACCATTTAATTATAATTTTATTAATCGATATTATTATTAAATTTAACATTATTAATTAAATTAATAAATTATAACTTAACCAGTTTTGTACCGGTTAAGAATTTATTTGTGTAAAAAAATATGTCATAATTATTGTAGAGATTTTTATCAGTTGCAGAATGATTATTTTTATTCTGATGAACTTGATTTTGCTAAAGCACAAAATTTTAAGAAAAAATATCATAAAGTATTATCTTTAACAACAGAATATAATTATCTTAATTTGAAAACAATTAATACTGAAGAAAAATATCAAGAATTAATATTTATTGCAGCTTCTTTAAAAATGGAACTTCATCCAACAAAGAGTAATTTATCATTTATTATGGAGGAAATTGAGGAATAAATTTTACTATTAATAAAGTCTAATCAGTTATTAACCGATTAGAATTTTAAACATGTAATTATAGAAAAGATTAATATAGTGATTTCTGGTTCTTGTGCATCAGGAAAATCAAGTGTTGGTTATTTGTTAGCAACAAAATTAAATTACCAATTTATTGAAACTGATTTATTTTATCAATATCTAGCGTCAAAAACATCAAGTTTTGATGAAGAAGAATTGATAAATATTTTAAATAATGA